AGCGTCTGTATAACTAATTCCAGGGTCAGCTTGGTTTAACTTTATGTCTATCAGAAAATTCTTGGGATTTTCCGTCTACCCTGGCGTTCAAAACCCCAGAAATATAAACAGCGGACAGCCAAATTTTTCTTGTGGTGCACCTACCCAAATAGACAAGGCTAGCTAATTAAGTTCAGGAGATTTAGAACCTTCCATGATGAATGTAAGCTACAGCAGTTGTATTTTCGATTTGAAGCTTTACGTGCGTGTTTTGCATGTCCTCACAAAAACATTTCAGTGCAAAAGATGCCGCAGATAACTCAAGTTTGTAAGTTGTTCAGCGCCCCCTGTCTTTCTCGGCCCGTAGACAGCCCGCCATCCCAGTTGAGAGGCATCAGATTGTATTATCGTGACATATATGGCGAAGTAATCGCGTGGCATTTTTGAGCCACCAGTGTATTTCCAACAATTAGAGACAGCTGCATTCGTTTAGGGCTTCTTTTCGACGTTGATTTTCACTGAACTGAAACGCAGTTCTGCGATCGATCGCGTTTGGCAAATAGGCTCCATTGGAAATAGTAAATATCATTAACCGGTTACAAACATGCTATGTGTGCTAACATATCTGACTAGTGACTAATACTTTACAGAAGTTAGCTATATATCGAAACTGAATATGTCGAGATCTAGGTAACCCAGCCAGCTCTTTTGTCTGGGCTTTTTATTATAGTGGGTCCTTGAAAATCGCTTGTTAAGGTAATTCCTTAGTAAAAGAACCGAACATAGATTGTAGATGAAACTTGGTACACTGATGTAACAGCTCAAGAAGATGACAAAAAAGTAATAAAAAGTGGGGGTCACCGTGCTCCTTTTGACGTCACAAGGCTAACAAATACGGCTATTTTGGACCCTTTGACAAAAACTGCGCGCAGCCCAAAACTAGACAAAAAGGAGAGATTTTTTCGATGATGCCCGTGGTATCGCACAGAATTTGACTTTATTGTACTGTTTATCCACTTATATACCAGAAAAATGCCTTTTAATGCTCCTGTTTTTACTTTACGCTCCAAAGTAGAATTGAATTGGACACGCGCTATTCGACCCGTGATAGCACAATCCATACAATTTAGTAAAATTGCCAAAAAACTGAACATAGATTTGTGCCAATTTTTTTCTCATCGAAAGGAAGCACTGTCCTTATTAAAATCATAAAATAAAAAATGGGGGTCACGGAACTCGTTTTTGCGGTAGAGCTGCAGAAAATGCGGACCAAATGCATTTTCTCCTATTTTTAAGAGAGGACTAGGGCGAGTTTCAAAATAGAATGTATGTGAAAGGGGGAAGAAAGTATTAAAAAAATCCGTTTTAACAGAATTTACATCCAGATATAACATTTAGGACACAATGTGATAAAGAAAGCGTTTAAATGAAAATCAAAGTGAGTAAGCACAAGTTAAACATCCACTATCGAGGTTCTCCGTGAGGAAGTCGAACTCAGGAACACGCGTACTGCTTACGTTTTGCACATTCCCAACACATTGAGTCTCACCTGGGGAAGAAATAACCCCAAGCAAAAATTCCAATAGCGTTTCTCTCCAGTCAACTTCATTTTAATAATGTTACTTCACATGTTTTTTTTTACGGCGGCCATTTTGTTATGCACAGTAAGAGATGCGCAGTGCAAAACCAGGGAATCACCTTAAGAGCGGATAAATAGTCCCGGCCGGTGAGTACTACGCCACTCTATCAATACTAAGAAAACTGAAATATCTCGCCAAATATGAGCTTAGAAAGCAACTAGCAGAAACATTGATTTTGTCAAAACGAGACTATGCCGATCTGGTTTTTTACCCTCTACTACAATTCTTACTTCGCCGTTTGCAACGGGTTCAGTTTGCTGCCGCAAGTTTTGTACTCGGTCACTCGGCTATGTTAAGAACTTTCGGGATGTACTAAAATCGGATGGCTTCCAATCAAAGAGAGAAGAGATTTCAACCTCCTGAAATCATGCTTTAAAGTTTTGCATAACACTGAGACTTGGCCAAAGCAGGAATGCCCCAAGGAACTGCGCTCAAGCAATTCAATGAGATTAGTGGTCCCGACCGAAAACGGCACTTTCCAAACCAGAAACTATTAGAAACTGTAAAGATGACAGAACCTTTTTAAGACTTTCGAGGAATTTTTTCAGAAACAGAGTACAGAGCGATTAGTCAGTTTTACTGTAATTGGATTCTGTTAATCCTGCTTCTACTGCATAATTTGTATATAACTTAATTTGATTTATTTTGTAATTGTAATTTTTGTACAGGGAAGAGCCACCCAGTAGATCTGTTAATAAATCACTATTGTTATTACTATTATTATTATTATTATTATTAGACCATACAATGACTCACGCAAGCGCCGTACTATCTCATGGGATCTCCCGCCTTCTGGTCATGTGATAGAATTAATAAAATATAAACTTGGAATTCCCAAAAAGGGAAATAATTCAAACCGCATTAACTACGTTATCTATTTTTTGTTGGAATGTGGGAAAAGTATATCACGTGAACATTTTTTTTTTGCCTTTGCAGTTTCTCTAAGGTGAGTGTTGAGCTAAAAAGTGTGCAAATGAAATTGGAAAGCTACAAGTCCAGGTAACTGATACATCACGCACAATAGTAATCATAATTGTAGTCTGAATAATAATCGTAGTCGTCAGTCATCGCGATCGTGATCGTGATCGTAAGCGTCATTATAAATTAATCATACTAAGTCTAAAGATCGTACCATCAATAAGAATAGCAATAACAACAAGAATATGATAAAACTGTGAAAGGTTTGAACCCAGGAGTCATTTCAAAAGTAGGTTGAGTTTGATCGTCCGGGTCAACGTAGTCCTGAATAGGACTGTTGTTGTTGACAGTGACTGACGTTTCGACAACCTGTGCGGTAGTCATCTTCAGAGTCAAAGTAAGTTGTATAACGTCAGTTGATAGTATTAAACTCTGGTTATTGATCTGATTGGTCAATTACGTTGCGATGTTATTGGTCGTCTGTCAGTTAAGCCGTGATGTCATTGGCTATGAAGACTCGTAATCAGTAATTGGTGCGTTTCGATCCGTCTATTGTCCCAGTTAAACAGTCGTCTATTGTTAGTCAAATTGTCAATTCTCCAGTCGTTCTCTCTTAGTTAGTTTTGCTTGATCTCGTCAATAAGTCGTTTGCACGGCGCTGGTAACTGTTGGCTACCATTTAGTGGCGTTTGTTCTAAGTTAGTAAACCAGCTTTCTAAAGTAAGACTTTGATAGTAGTCTCTAGAATACGTTATACATGTCGCAGAGTCCCAGTCAATTTGATGTTTCGTCTTTAAATGGTGCTCAGCAATGTGATTGTTGACGTCACCATTCCTCGTTGCTCGTTTGTGTTCGGTCAGTCGCGTGCTTAGGTTTCTGCCGGTTTCACCAATGTAAGAAGCCTGGCAGTCGCAGCATTTGATCTTATGTACTGCTCCCTGTCTGTCCTCCGGTTTGTCTTTGTCCTTGACACTAGTAAGCAGTCGCCGTAAAGTGGTTATCGGTTTGTGTGCAACACGTATATTGTAAGGTTGTAATAAACGTGCAATAGTTTCAGAGGTGCCTCTGATGTACGGTATAGTCGCTGTCGTAACAGGGCCAGAGTTGGTCTGAGTGTTGGAATCAGTTTTACTTTGAGTGTTCCGTCTAACAAAGTCCGTGTGGTAATTGTTCTTACTAAAAACGTTGTTAAGATAATCAGTCTCGTCTAATCAGTCTCGTCAGGTGAGTCGCAAACTAGCTAGTAGCGCTCGTCTCGAATCACTACAACTCACTTTGACTCTGAAGATGACTACCGCACAGGTTGTCGAAACGTCAGTCACTGTCAACAACAACAGTCCTATTCAGGACTACGTTGACCCGGACGATCAAACTCAACCTACTTTGAAGAATATGATAGTGAACACGTTTCGGAGAGGCGTTTTTATAGTCAGATGAAGGAAAATTGCCTGTGTAGGATCTCACTATTCAGATTGAAAATCGGTGGGCTGACAAAGTGCTTCATTTGGATAAAGGATAGTGCGCGGAAAAAGAGCGTTTTCACATAACGTCACGGCGGCCATATTGGTGTTTCAAAACAATGAAACGGTGACCATGTTGGTTCACCAAGAAAATCCGTTGGGAGGTTAACTCTTTTCTCATGTAAATGCTTTCCTTTGTTCCAATAAATTAGCATAGATGCTTGCCACGTGAGTGAAAACGCTCTGTAGTCCGGAAAAGCCCGTAACGAGAAAAATAATGAAGAAAAATTCGAAATAATTAATTTTTAAGAAGAGAAGTTGCTCGACTGTAAATTATGTTCTTTGTTAACGATAAGGTCACAGAGTTAGGCCCTGTCCACACGTATCCGTACTTGTCTGAAAAAGCAACTTTTTTTCTCCGTTTTCAAAATAATTCGCGTCCACTCGTAGCGTTTTTGCATCGTTTTGGCCTGTCCACACGTATACGATGAATCGATTTGAAAACAATAACTTACCCGCCTGCGCATGCTTGACGCATAAGTGTTCACTACTATAAAAGATAAGAAAGGGAAGCACCCGTCCGCCATCTTGAATAAGTTTCTAATATTGCGCGGAGTGGATTGGACCTGATAGTATGACCGCATCGTTTTCGAAAAGTTCTGTTTTCATTTATCGTTTTCATCCGATACGTGTGGACGGAAGTCGTATCCGTAAAGAAAAAGTTGCGTTTTCAAATGAAAACGGATACGTGTGGACGGGGCCTTAGTGAATCATAGATTACTGCTCAAGTTGACTGAAAAAAATATAATGAACCGCTAAATTGCTGTTTCAGATCAAGAAAACGTAACTTTCAGTAAAATAAGCCAATAATGGCCAGGAAAGATTCTATTATTGCATATATATCGCTAAGTTAACTGGATTACTTTTTCTATCTTGTCTTTTCCCGCCTGCCTTTTGATCTTTAATCATCCGAGTGGAATATTCCTCGTAAATCACATTATAAATGCCCATTTCCTTTTATAGATTGGCTTCTTTAAGTGAAAAGAATGTACAGCAAGATCAAAGAAAAGTCGAGGACATAAGTGGTTCAAACAGACCCTCTGAGCTGGAGAAAGATTTCTGCGCCTTTTTCGATGAAGACAGGGTGGATGCTTGCATAGCAATGCAGACCGAATATAGCCGTAATGATGGTGATTTTGTTGACATTTACTATCCGAGGTTGGCCTGTCTCATACTTGAGGTAGGTGGAAAACTTTACCAGCCAAATTTAAAAATACTTGAATTTAGTCCGTCTAACTAGAAAAATGTTCTTTTTTTGAACAGAATGCATAATTCAGTGCAACACACAAAAATTCTCGCTTTAAACGCGAAATCTGAGATGGACATTACTCAAAATGGGCCTATCTGGCCCCATTCTCGGAGACCCAGGGGCAGCTAGTCGGGACAGTAGAATGTTCGTGGTGAAAGTTTACCATAAAATCGTGAAGATCCCTTGGGCACTTATTCTTACCGAACCAGTTTCGAAAGCGTTTGAATTGGCTGTTTCTGATTGGCCAGAAAAAATACAATTTGCGAAGAGAAGCAGCTGGCATGGGTGACTCGGGTTTTCGTACACGACGTAGTTTTCCTCATTGATCGCCACAGTTGCATAGCGCGTTCAACGGGGAAACTTTCTCGAGGAAAGTTTCAGAACAAAAATTAAATTAAATTAATGTTAACGAAGCCGGAAAAGTTACAAGCTTTGGCACGGTTACAAGAAACAAACGGTCTCCCATGGATTTTTACGGCGGATCTGTCGAAGGCATATTTGAATTTTTGTTGCTAATACGCGATGCACGACTCACTTTCCAACCCTTTGCTCACAATTTGTAGTATACTACGCCAAGCTTGCATTTTAGATCTCCATTTTCGTTGCATAATTTCTGAAACCTTTCTGGCTTCGTTAACATTTTGTTCATTTTTCTACTCAACTAAGGCGAGCGATGAGGAAATCTGCGTCGTGTAAGAAAACTCCAGAGTCAACCGGCTGCTCCTCTCCGCTTATTGGCCAGAAAAATATTTTTCTGGCCAATCAGAAGCAGGCAATTCAAACGCTTCTGGAACTGGTTGGGTGGGAGTAAGTGCCAAGGGTCTCTTCCTGATCTTATAGTAAACTTTCACCACGAACTTTCTATTGTCGCGCGTCGACTAGCTGCCGCTGGGTCTCCGAGGATGATCTTGCCCCGCTCGGGTAGTCAGCCGGGACACAGGTTTTGTTTTACCTTGCCCGGTCGCATTTTTAATTAAAGTTTATATTTCCGTTAAAAATACGAAGACAAAAACAAAAATGCATTGTTTGATAATTACGCTGCTGATGGACGAGCATCTTTTCACTTGAGGTTTCACACCTGTCCAGTATTTTTACTGAATTTGTTGACCTTGTATTCGCTGACAATGACTCAATTTGTTTTTCTATTTTCACAGACTGCGTATGAACAGGCCAAAGAGGTTCATGAAGCTTTTTCCTATACTTTTAAGGAGATAACCAACATTATGATGAACAACTCTCCTTGGTTCGGACAGGAACTGTGGACTGCTAGGAAGGTAATAATACTCCAATATTAATGCTTTGTTTTTGTTCAGTGCGACAAAGGTATCATTTGGGCTCGCCCAAGAAGAGTAATCGAGTTCCCTTGTTTTGATTCAGAGTTGCAGTAGGTACGCGTAAACAAGCAAAGTAAATAAGCCAAGCGACGCGAATGTCTGCCGCGCGCTGTGTCAACAACACAGCATTTATCTTCGTTACATATGACCCACAGATGACGCACGGTAAACAAATCGCCAATAGAAAACAAACTTTTTGGAAAAACAAAGTACACTGAGTGAATTAAACAAACTTTCAAATAATTTGAATTTTCCATGTGCAATATTATCGTCCTGGCAGCATACGTTGTGAATGGTTTGGCTTATTGCCAAGAGTTTAACAATATTTTTGCTTTCAGTTGTCGAGCGCCAAATTAGAAGATGTGACGCAAATTCCATGATCTCGTACATGGGATAATTAAGGGTAACATCGAATGATGCATAATTTCGTTGCATATTTTCAAAATCTTATTGAGCAAAATTACCTCTTAAGCAAGTTGCATTCTTTCACGGTCGAACCGTAAAGGGGCAGAGTACAGCATCTTCACGTACAAACCGCGTTCTATTTTTCAAACCCTTGCGTTAATTAGATTAAGGACCTGTCCACACATATCCGTAATCGTTTGAAAACGCATCGTTTTCGCCCGTCCACACGTATTCCCTTAATCGGTTTGAAAACGATAACTTAGCCGACTGGGCATGCTTGACGAAGGAACGCGCTCGTCTGCCATCTTGAATAAGTTTCTAATATTGCGCGGAATGGATTGGAACTGATAATGTGACCTCAGCGTTTCCGTAGAGTTCCGTTTACATCTGTCCACACGTACACGCGAAAACAGCGTTTTTAAAAAGTTCCACTCTGGAGAGCGTTTTCGAAAAGTTCCGTTTTCTTTGATCGTTTTCATCGGATACATGTGGACGGTAGCTGTATCCGTAAAAAAAAGTTGCGTTTTCAAGTGAAAACGGATGTGTGTGGACGGGACCTAAGTCGCATTCTCTCATACACGAACTATGAAAGCGGCAAATTCCAAAGCTTACACGTGCAAACTGCGTGACAATACAAGTCATGGTAAGGGTCTGATCACATGAGCAGGGGAAGCAATGCGCATGAACAATGTGTTACCCGGGTTGTTTACCATTTACCACAAATTCCTGGAAATTCCGGTTGGGATGTAAATGGTAAAGGTTTTTTTGGTTCGCCCACTGGAAAATTCCCGGGACAAACAGAAATTCTGAAAAGGTAGTCCCGTTTTCCGATTCGGACGTTCCGAATGGAAATTCGTTTGCCATTTACAAGTTTCTGGAATTTCGTACTAGTTTCACGGATGTTGTAACTAGAATCCAGTCTAGCGCGTCGCGAAAACCCGGAAATTTTAGGCAAATGGTAAACGACGCGTACCGTTCTTACCGACCGAAAATTCCCAACCAAAATTTCCTTAGCGTGCGAACGTCAGACGTTTCTCGTCGCTCATCGCCGCTGAGAGACGCTTCGAGAGGAGGAGCGTCTGCGACTCAGCGACAGCAATTCCATACTGACGACGCAAAATCTGTCCGGAATCCGGTCAGAAGCGCTAATTGGTCGGCGGAGTAGTTTCATTGTTCTAGTGTTTGTTTACAAATGACAGACAAAAGACAAAAGGCGGCAAAGGTCAAATGGAAACGCGATGAATCTCTAACAAAACAGTCAATATTTGTGGAATATAGTCTTTTCTAGAAGAAGGATTTGAGTTTTGCTGGAGCTCATTCGCAGATGAACACAACACTTTTCCAAAATCGACCAGGAGAAACGTAAAATTGAGCAAATTTGCATTTGGAACCCCATGACTCCCGGATTTGTTAAGTAAACATTGATTTACGTCATCCGTATGGAATTTCTGTCGCTGAGTCGCAGACGCTCCACCTCGCGAAACGTCCCTCAGCGGCGATGAGCTAGGAGAAACGTCTGCCGTTCACAGGCTAAAATTTCCGACATTTTTTTATAAATCGTAAACAACCCCGCTGTCGTGTTTCTCGCTTGGTTCATTCACCGGGCCACCCGGAAAGCATGATTTCTTGGAAAATTTCCACCCGGGATCCCGGCATAACAATGCTGAGATCCCAGCTAACCGCGCTTAATCGGTTGTCACAACCGAGTCTTGTCATATAATCGCAAAGTTGATTTTTGTTGCGTTCAACTAAGGTGCCGGGATGCAAAGCAAGCCAGCCCGGCTCATGTACTCAGGCCCAAATAGAAAAAAAAAAACTAAAGCAGCAACGGTACAGTAACATATAAACTTTCATATTTGCCAAATAATATGACTTATGCCACCAAATTATTGCAGTCGGAGAGTGTCAAAGTTTATTGCTGTTTGCGTAGTTCCTCGGTCCATATAGACAAAGTACTAGCATGGCTGCGTTTTAGAAAGGTCTACGCCCTCGAGGCAGGCTTCATTAAAACCTACCTGCGAATAACTAACATACATTTCCTTCCAACTATAAGCGAGCCTAATCGATTTTGAGACGCAAATTTCCCTCCAAGTATAAGCTTAGCCGATTTTCAAAAGCAAATTTCCCTCCGTATATAAGCCCCCTAAAAAAGGGCCTTTGAAAATTATAAGCCCTAGGCCTTATTTTCGGAATTTTTCGATAGATTTCCAGCTATGTCGAGAAAAGTTGTGGAGAAAACGTACACGCGACAATCCCGAAAGGTAAAGTGAGTTATGATTAATACACTTCCTGACACTGTAGCTGTCGAACCTACTTTTGTTGCTTTCCTTTAGCACTCGGAAAGGTACGGCTAGGCCTAGACACATATAGCTGGGTTTTTAGGATTTTTAGGGCATCAGGATATTTTTACAAATCTTGAGGATTTTTAGCAAAAAAATGGGGTTTGTGGTGGATGTTTGTTCTTTTTTTCTTTGCCGCTTTTTTTAAAAAATCCCGTAAAATGATAAGTTTGTCCCATTGTTTACTAATTGTGACTGAAAGATTGCAATCCAATTGTGCAGCGGAGTTTTCTGTTTCTAATGCATCCCATGATTCCAATGAAAGCAAATTTCAAACATGGCGGAGAAGCCAAGTGAAGCTTCAGTGAGTTCAATTGACCACGCCAGAAATACCATAACATACCATAATGCTCTTTGTTTTTCACCCCAAAATTTTGCATAAGCATTGTCTTCAGTTCCTCTTGGGAGTTAAAATGGCCCCAAGAGAAACTGAAAACAATGCTTATGCAAAATTTTGGGGTGACAAACAAAGAGCATTATGGTATGTTATGGTATTTTCTGGAGTGGTCAATTGCCATTGAAGATGACTTAGAGCCCAATATCACTCGAGAAAATTTTGGAATATTTAGGAATCTGTGAAGACTTGTTTGGATTTTAGAGATTTTTGAGTGGATTTTTATGGAAAAAAAACTGGGGATTACCGGAGAAATTTTTAAAGCATTGTTTGGGATATTTGCACTGTGGCGGGCTTTGAAGAAAATTATACCCCAATCCACCCACAATTTTGGGATTGTCGCGTGCACTTTTTCCGACAACCTCTCTCGAAACAGTTAAATAAGGGAGATATAAAGCTGTCCACGAAAAAGGACAAAACACCTGCATTTGAATCTTGCACTTTTGTGCTCTGCAGTAGTGATAAAATACATTGTTATATTCCTAGGCTTTCACTCAACTAAACAGGGACTGCCATTGGTTGATTCTTGATCACGTGGCCTCGACTAAAATCAAATGTATCCCGATCGTGATACATTAAACAATATACCCCGCTCGGAATACATTGCAGCACTTGATCAAAGCATGGTGGAAAGTGGCGTGACAGAAGGCGGGTGGAAAGTCTAGAAATATAACCAAACACTTAACTAATGTCAGGTCCCTCGGGAAACCAGTTAGTTTTGTTTTCCCTCGAGTCCTGTATACGTGTTGCACACAAACCGATAACCACTTTACGGCGAATGCTTACTAATGTCAAGGAAAAAGACAAACCGGAGGACAGACAGGGAGCAGTATACAAGATCAAATGCTGCGACTGTAATTGATCAATCAGATCAATAACCAGAGTATAATACCATCAACTGACGTGAAACAACTCACATTGACTCTGAAGATGACTACCGCACAGGTTGTCGAAACGTCAGTCACTGTCAACAGGTCAACAACAACAGTCCTATTCAGGACTACGTTGACCCGGACGATCAAACTCAACCAACTTTTGAAATCACTCCTGGGTTCAAACCTTTCACAATATTAACTGAGCCTGAGGTGAATTGTTTTAGTATATACACACGAAGTGATCTGAACAGAATCAGAAAGGAAACCATGAAAAAAAAAAACGATTAGTTTGATTCACGGGTAAATTCATGCGTGAATATGTACAATGTAGTCGTAAACAGTGGATGCACAACAGTTGGATCTTAACAGTATTTTCAAACATGGCAAATCATAGTTTTATTTTTTTTTTTTGTAAGCTGTAGCATCAATGACTGAAAAGAAAACGTTGAAAGTTTAAATAACTCCTCTTGCTGAGAAGAAACACAGAGCTTTATTTGCTTCTGTCAACTCACCGTGAATGAGACAGTTTTTTTGTTGCTACTTGCAAATGCTGTCAACAGCGGATACGATCGACGTGAACGTTGTTTATCTGCAGTGCAGTGTTCCTTGCAATGTTAACTTGCTGGCACGTACAATTTTCGAAAATATTTTTTTCCTCCATAAATTAACTTCTATTTCCAGGCAAAATTGGTCTTGCGAGGAAATTCCGAGTTCACAAAACAGTGACAAAGCGGCCTCCTTTTCCTCTGTAGTGGTCAATAAAAACATTGCTTCGAGCGTATGAAAGTCAACTACGGTAAATCACTTCGCAATAAAATCACGCTGTTTAACCACCATAAAGTCTTTTCTTACCTTCAAAATCATCAATTCTGGGATATTCTTGTATTATAAAAAAGTTCTTACTCTGAAACTTGGCAAAACACCCAGTTGACGACAGCGATTTTGTTTTGCTATATATTCACCGCCTAGCGCGGTGAATATAACGTCACGGTCTGAGGTAGCGAACCAATCAGATTGCTTGAATCACCAAGATCACTGAGTGTGTATATACCAATTTCATATATTCAAAAGTTCATCATTATCCTTTCACGGGTTTATAATTAACCATATCAACGATCTGCTCCCAGTTGGCTAGTTAGGCTAATTTGTAGAAAGCTGCACTGGTATCGCAGAAGTCAAGGGTTCGAATCCCATAAAAGCCTGAATTTTTTTCAGGCTTTCTTTTGGCAACTGCAAAAGTTGCGCCTATAACTGCGATGATCTTCTTACATTTAAGGTGTCTTGAGGGAGTATACCTCCCCTCTTTAAGCGTTTACAACGTCGGCAATAACAAAGATAACGCAAAAGGGTTACCACAGCTGCTCTGTATAAAGATGAAAATCTGATACAATCCATGTTTTATTGACATCATCGTTACCATGGCAACATAATGACGCCATTACGTTGTTTACTTGCCTTTGTATTTCTTGTTACTAGGCCTGTACTTTCCTTAGTTGCCTCAGTTATGGCAAGCGTTGAACAAATTCTTTGAGAGCGTTTTGAAAATATTTTGAAACAAAGTTTTAACGGGTCATTAAAACAGTGAATAAACATGCTATCGACATAATTAGCTTATATCGTAAGAAACTGATGAGGTCTGGAAATGCAGTTTCATCTCATAGTAGTTTGAGGAGGGGGATTGCTTTGGCCTATTGCGAGAAAGAGGAATTTAATTAGCCTACGTTCGGCGGCTTTCTTTACTTTTTTTGTATGTAATTTGGTCCACACCTACAAATTTTACGTTGAAAACAATGCCAGTGAGCAATGAGGGACGCTCACTTGTAAACACAAAATCTGGGGAAAAGTTTTTGACATTTGAAGCCACATTTAATTACCTTCCTACAATGTCCTTGAAACTGGGCGGAGATGTAAATTGATGATTAATCTCGGGATTGTCATGTTTTTTAAAAAAATTATCGAACGGTTTTTTAATTACCGTGAGATGAAACCACATTTCCAGACCTCATCATTTTCTTTAGATATTAGCTAATTATGTCGATAGCATGTTTATTCACTGTTTTTATGACCCTCAAAACTTTGTTTCAAAATATTCCCAAAACGCTGTCATAGAACGCTCAAATTGGGGAAGTATACTCCCTAAAAAATCAAGTCGAGCCACCTTAATAACAAGTTGTATTGATCATAATCTGGCATAATATTTACCAAGCTGCCAGGTATCGAGGTACAGTAGGTATACCTAAGGCTTCTAAACCTCTCGATTAAACGGAACCGGAAAGAAAACCATTAAGAAGCGATTTTTTTATTGACGGTTCAATTCATGCGAGAAAAAAGTGCATGTAGCGGTAAATGACGAAATTCGTCCTGTAAAGAAAGCCCGATCAGGTCACACCTCCGCGTTTTCCTATGTATATGTAGTTGTAAACAATACTCCGAGCGCCAGAAAAAACTCATCTATCGTAATCAGAAAACGCTGTTTTAAACACTTCAGTTGTTTCTTACCTTAAAAAACATACCGTTTTCGACAAAACACCATGTTCACGCCAGCGATTTTGTTTTGATTTTGTTTTAATCAATCAGATTGCTTAAAACACCCAACATAGCGTAGTGTGTATATTGAAACTAATACTGATTAATTGATTACTTTTTATAGCTGCATATGGAAGGCAATTGGCCCCTCTTCTATACATTTTATTTCAATACGCCTTTGTGGGGAGAGGGTTCGGATTCCCTAAAGGATGTTGTCGATGAGATGCATCTTGCTATGAAGGAAGTGGCGCCCACTTGCAACGTGGAAACACTCACTCAAGTATGTCCATTATTTATGTAGGTGTGACGTGTTCTGAATCTCCTTATACCGCGTAGGACGAAAAAAATTGTGCTATGAGATAGAAAATAAATTGTAAATATACCAAATCCAAGACTACAGGTACCGAAGTTACAACAGTTGGTGATCCCCTCTCCAGTGAAATAGGGTTGGGCACAAGTAAAGAATGTATGGATCCTTCTTTGGCTAAATGTTTCAGAACTTTAGAAAGCGTGTCAAGAGCCTAGTTGCAAATATGGCAAAGGCCGCTAAAAGGGTTCCCTGCTCTGCAATTGCTTTTCGTATTGTAGAGCACGACGACGATTGAAAATTTAGATGTTGCAAGTACAATCAATAACTGACAGCATGGGAGACTTCCCCTTCTTTCGTTGACTAAGTTATTGGTTTTCAAAATTTGCGGATCTGCCCTACAATCGACCGTTGAAATATTACACTTCACTGGAAGGTGCGATTAAAACAGACTATTTGACAGGCTTAGAACGCCCATGCGGTTTCGGGAGCTTGTAAACTAACATGTTTTATAAAGGGGTAATTTAGAGGTATAAAACAATTATTATTAATATTAATTGTACTGTTATTATTATTATTATTATTATTATTATTATTATTATTATTATTATTATTATTATTATTATTATTATTACAGGTGATACCGGTAAAAGTAAATTATAATTAATTTACACTATATAAAGCTTCACTTTTAAACCTTGAAATAATTTAATTAAAAAGGGTTACCTTTTTAGTCCTTCTTCGCTGCCGCATATTCATACGACGAAGTTCGGTCCGAACGACGACGAACCGTAGCGACCGCTAACCGAAAGCTAACGGTCTGCTACAGTAAAAATCTGGGCTAACCCCAAGCCACTTAAAGCATAATTATCTAAACATCATTCTCTCTTGCTATCTAATTGAATATGTATATTTAAATAAAATGCTATTTAGAATAATTTGCTTCTATCAACGATCCTTAAAATTGAACTACAAATGTAGCTTAATGGCCTTAACAATATGAGACATTTTAAAAGCTCAAACTTTCGTCACGTGACCTATAGTTGACAATTAAAAAAAACTAATTAAGCTTAAATAAAATTGTTGCCAGGCATGAAAATATTCCAAGGGATGCAAATCTTTATAATGATCTAAGTATGTTGCCCTAGAAAAATAAGCAGTGTTAAATATATAAGTATGGAGCTTTCTCACCATTGCTTTGCTGGTCTTTGAAAAACTCTTCCCTGTCCTTGCGCCACGTCTCACTGACACAGTATCCTGCTTTGAGACCCCTTTGCATTCGAATTGATTTACCTCTTGTGCTATTTTGCCAATCTCTCCCTTCCCAGCATCTGAACTTTCAATTGCCTGTATCAGTTGGCAAAGGTCCTTTGACTGATTGCTAGGTAGCTCAACCTTGAGTTCCTCTTTGCTGTTGTCCTCTTCTTAATGTATCTGGCAACTTCACGATAGTACGTGCAAACACTTTTCAATCGAGGATCCGAACCACTTTTCAACGGGATATTCTGGCTAGGAATATGCCAAATCTTGCAAGATTTTGCATGACCACTACCTGTGGGCCCGCCAATGACTCTTATATTTTCTGCAACATATCTTAAGCGATTAAAATCTTCCAGTATCCCTTCACACAAGGTGTGATTTCCGAGCAACATCTCTTGAGCAAGCTCAATTACATGTGAAGTTTCCAGTGCGAGAAGCTTGCCGGAGTTGATCACTTTGTGTTCGAATATGGGACAATACAAACTCCACGCACAATCGACGTGAATGAAAAGCCGACCAGGTTGAAAAGGCCACGTTTGAGCGTTATAGGTATGTGTATCTGAAGGATATAACATCAATATCTATGCACAATCCGGTATGCTGGTAGGGTCAACATCTTCGAAAGGAGAGTGTTTTCTGGTGGGAGAAGTCAACTCAACACTAAAACCGGCTGATTTCAGATCCCTATGTCGCATTTCTAACAATTTACGTCGATCCCCTTTGGCAGTCGTCGTTTCAGCAGAACTGAAGGTTTTCTTCCGCAAGAGTCTTTTTCGCAAAACCTCCTTGACATTCAAACTTGCGCGCTCGTCGCCTTCGCACGAGGCGCTTGAGCTGGAGAAATTAAATCCGCTTCAGGTTTTCGACCAAAATTCAATGTTAAGGGTAATTCCCTTGTTTTGCACTGCGCCCTCTACTGCGCAAAATATTGCGACATGGCGGCGGTACTTCCCGTTAGCACGAAAAGAACAAACAAGCGCCGCTTTTGCAGAGCTAAAGCTTTTATTCACAATAACAATGCCGCAGACCGGCTGAAAGCTTCCTGGAAAATGAAAGAAATGTGCGTGATCACGAAGTGTGCAGTTGTTTTTCACTTCGTAGCTGTCGAGTTGTGGAATTATTTTAAAAAATGTCCTGGCTGAGGCTTTGGATGGGGGCTATCATGAAGCCTGTGGAACAGCTCTGCGGCTCTCCAACTGCATTACCGAGCCAGTATATGGCCCGGAATCGCTTCTGTGCATATGTTGTTCAAACTCCGAATGTGGAGAGACGAATATTTCTGGAACAAATGAGACAGAACCACGCGAGGGAGACCAATCTTTGATGTAAACATGAAGTTTACTGCTGAATTCACATTTTGCTGTGTATAGAAACCAAGAAAGCGAACATATGAAGAATAGGAATATATAGTCTTTTCTTCAAGTTTCTTTGTCAAGCATTGTTGCGCAAAAGCAAAAAAATCGAACCCCAGCTCACTGGAATAACAGAACGCCGGCGCCTCAAAATAGTCCAAAATAAAGATTCATAACGCCAAAATCTCATCAAATCTTGACTTACCTCATTCCTTGGTATTTACTGTACTCTAGATCTTTTCAAGTATGAATTTCTGTGCTTGCGATATCAAACACATAAAAACAACCGAAAACAAGCTTGATGTCGAGTGCATACTTCGAACACGGTGGGCGCTATTTTGCACCTCGCCCCAGTCACCGCTGCCCAAATTATCCATCTCGAGTGCGATGTCAAAACCATGTCCACCTTTCACAGCAGTTTGTGAATAAAACAAGCACGATGAGCCCCGGTTTTTTTTTCCAGATATTTGCTAAGAACAGTCTAATAAAGAACATATTTGAAGGAGAAAAAAAGTTTGATAGTAGAACATGTTTTTTTTTGGAAAATAGTTCCGTAGTTGGTGTATTTGGGTCAAGGCGAGGACTTCAAGCTAACCACGGAACTGTCCGAAAAAGTGCAATATCCCAACAACCAGGCTATCAGAAACTGATTAATTGAAGTAATACTGCTTATTTTAATAAAAGAAGCTTTATGTTCAAGATAAAGACTTAATTCTGTATGAAGGTGACTCAAATTTTAACACGCAACCAGTAAATCATATAAGCCCGCTGACCCCATCTTTTTACTGCATTTTCTCAATGTTCATATCATGAATGTTGATTATGCCAGGTTTCAAAAAAAAAGTTTGATAGTAGATCAATTTCAAGGGAATTACCTTAAAGCACTTTTTCTACAACTCTGACTTTCTGAAAGATCCGATTCGTCAAAAGGACGTTTCATATTAAAAGTTTTTTGAGGAACTTACAAGGAGAATTTGCGACGACAAAAACCCTAAAATTCTAACAAAGACAACCTTTCCACTCGCTGCGTATATCGTGCTTGAAAGAACTATTATAATCCATCGCTTTATTCTCAGTCTATTAAAAAACTTATTAACTTTCGCTTACCCAGATGCTAGCGGCTGTAAAATCAACAATAAGGGTGCATAACAAAAAGGAAAACGGTCGAAGGACGGGCTCTTTATTGCACCTTCGTCCGCAATGTTTTTTCTTTTTTCCTCTCGGTTCACAGTGACTTTTCGCGGGAAAGAAGCCGTTCTATTTTTAAATCTGCTCGGGAAAGGGTTGACTCAAGAAATTAGTAGATATGGAAGCTCTGAGAGATGGGCTCCTGGCCCCTTAAATCTTAAATGCCGGACATACGGTCAACTCGTTATTTTTAAATGCCTCACACAACTAAAACGTGAAATGTGCTATTTGTCGATAATGAAATCTTGTCAGTGACCGCAGCAAAAAAAATAATAATTCGGTAATAGACGGTGTTACATAGGTGTTACATGGGAAGATATTTTATGGCAAATTTTATCTTGTTATGATCTTCAACGTCCAAAATTGTGAAAGTTAAAAGGCTTCCTTAAATGATTTTAGGAGATTTTTTTATGATACTTATAATTTACTTTATAATTATATAGCAGCAGTTAAGCTGAGCAGGTACGTCATCGTCGGCGTTTCAATTACTGTTGTACCTTATGCCGTCGTAAATCGTTTCAAAACAGTTTCTTGAACCACATTTCAGTCTCGAAGTTCCCTAATAGATGAAGACAGACTATTGCCGCACTCTTAAAAAATGCATGAAACTGAAATTTTGTTTCATAGGAAAACGTCCGCTTTAACATTCTTGCAATATTGTAGGATTAATTTCTACGGTTAATTTTACTTCTGAAGTCTTGAAGAAACATAAAAATGATATCTGAGTGTCCAGTCAATTAAGCATTCATCCTAGAAACGCTTCAACGACTGAGTAATCTACGGAGGTACCTACTTTCGAGATTCAAAAAAAGTTTATCCTAGACATATAAAACAAGAATCGTTTTTATTCTACCTCATTTTTTTATTCCCTCCGTCCTAGATTGCCTTGGTCCCTAAAACCGTATTAAAGCAGCAAAACTAGCAAAGATTAAAAATATAACTATTATTCTATGTTATTCACCGGCTGGGAGGTCCGTATTCGGAGAAACTGCGCCCGAGGTCTTGAGTACCGCCCGAGGCCTTAGATCGAGGGCACAGTTTCTCCCAATGCATGCGGACCAATCGAGGCCGGTGAATAACATTTTTATTTTTTCCTACTGAGAGTTAAAAGTTTCGGGAAAGTTTTCCTTTAACCTCCAACCTATGTGTGTTGAAGTAGGACGCGTTCGCGTTGATGGAGCACGCGATCGATTGCAAACCAAAACGAAACATTAGAAAACGATTTTTAGCTCACAATTAAGTTCTTTTTCAGAATAAAGAAAGGTTTTTGTGAATTGGTAGGCAATTCATAATCTGAGTGCCAAACAAGGATAAAATGATTGACGAGCCTGAAATTAAAAGCCTCAGGAAAAAAAATACAGCAGAGATCTTCTTCGGCTGAATAATTAAGATTTTAGTTTGACTTTAATTGCATATTTTGAATGTAAAATATTGTCAATGTTCACCCTGAAATGCACTGGCTATGGAGGTATGTCTGGTGGGCGTTAATTTGATTTTTGGTCGGTTTGTAGGCTAGATTCGTCTTCAAATTTCAAGGTGTTGCAGTGAATCAATGTTAATGAAAGTTTCAGACATTATTATGTACATCATGAAGATTATGTGATGAGGTTTAAAAAGAATTCTGTAGAGCCATTTTAGAGATATAAAGAAAAGCGCTAAAAGTCAAAATTAAGAATAAAGTTGCACTTAGACAGGTGGTGAGAAAACAGGTTAATTTTGAGGATCGCAGGAAAGGAAATAAACCAAAATTTCCATGCATCGATAAATCCATGATATTTAGCAGCCTTCCGACGCTACTTAAGATTAATTTGAGTTAATTAGATTTTTTTCATTAAAAAAATGGCAAGCTTGGAAAAAATAAAATACTATATGGTAGCGTCATGTATTAAAGTCAGACAGAAAAGCTTGGCTCACAGGATGGCTCAAAGTTTGTCCGTACGTATTTTTACTGGTCAAGTTTATTTTCAGTGTCTTCAGATTGTCAATTTTTGACAGAACCGTCAAGTTGTCTTGCATTTTCACCCCTCTATTCTACCCCCATGTAAAAAGGGAATAAAACATAACCGGGAAATGAAGTACAGGGAAAACATGGTTATCTTCACTGTACCTTTTCACATTGGTTAAGTTGAACTGCAAAGGTACCTAACGATCACACGGTCAAGAAATGTCCAAGCTTGAAGCATATTTTATCAAAAGGGTCTTCACGCCCAAGGCCACACTACTGTAGTCACTTACTAGAAAAAAAGCACACACTTTGCTCTAAATATCTTTTTTTTGTTTTTCATATTTCGTCATAGGTTATTAAGCAAATATCATACCTGAAGTGGGAAAAATGGTGCGAAGATGATAAGACCTGTAAGTTTAGTCCATGTGAGAACATATTGAATGCTCTTCAAAAGTACATATTCGCCTGCATCAAACTTACTTGGAGAATGGTTACACAGATGCCGCCGATGAAGCTCGAATACCATTCTTCCCAGTTTAATAAAGATATTCATAAGAAAGTGTCCAGGGTACCAGAAGAAACACGTCGATTAACTAAGAAGGACCAGGGTGAAGACATTAGATGCTACCTGTGGCCCGGCCTTCAAGACGGTGGAGGAAGGCGAATTCGACAAGCGGAAGTCTTGTGCAAATTAAAACAGAAATGAGAATGAGTAGGTTTCTCTTTATCACAATCTAGTTCCCAACACAGTGGGAAAAAAGTTTATTGCTAATTACACAGCACGAAAAGTGAAATTTACCAAACTTTACCTGATTCCTTAAGTTCCGTAGATTTAAAGGCACACCAGCGTGTAAAGGTGCCAGCGCCCGAAAAGGAAACAAGAAAAGTTATAGCTTAAAGCTGTTTAAGACGGTCTTTACGTATCACGTAAGGGATGGTAAAGATGCGTCCATAAAAATTTCGCTATTTTTTTCTTTTTGTCAGTTGAAAAAAAACAAAACCTCACAATACAAGGAACGAATGCATGTAACATATATGTAAGCAGATATGCTCTTATTTGAAAGGTAACACTACAAGATTTTGTGCACCCAGAGTTAGAAGTTGCAATGTCACGCTATATTATCTTACCATACCATGGCGTGAAACAGAGAAGGCTAAAAAAGCTTAACGTTTCTGAGGGTTAAAAAAAACAAACAAACAAATTGAAACTCCTGAAATATATTACCTAAGCTTACAACACACCTCCTCGTAATAAACATGACCAATGGACATTGCAGTTCTTGGGCGTAGTGCGCATATAGATGACCTTTTTTATTTTCTGTCATAGAATATAATCTGCGTATTTTGTCAAGATTATTCTATTATTCAAAGATAATTTGTTTGTTTGATTTTTGGAAATCGTCCCGAAATGTCAGCAAAATTTTGGACGGCTTTTACACCAGTGTACAAAAAACCCAAGTGTTTATGACCTCGCTTACTGGCCTCCAGGAGCTGCATGAGCATTCCTCGACAGGTGAACTAGAGTAATTAATACATCTTTGCCTGATTTCAATATGGTTGTGAAGTCGGGCAATGCCTGTCTTGGAGATTTGGCATCATATATCGCCTCACGTTTATATCGGCGAGGATTTTCTTGGTTGAAAATAGAAAGAACTATTTCTAAGAAATACATAAAATTACACATACTAATGTGGTATAAGGAGTAAGAGAATGCATATTGTTATTAGTACAATTCAACTAGTAGTCTATTATCGATGCTGTGTTCTGATTGGTTGAGCTACTAGTAGGTTATATGTTATAGCCCTCTAGTAGCGAAAAGCGCCGGCTTTGAAAACCAAAACAATGGCGGCTGAATCGCGTTTTGCTAGCTAAAGTTGTTTGTCTCGATATTTTGACCAACTAGTTGCATTTTACTAAAACAATTATTCCTTTCGCCCTCATGGCCTCTGAGTCAATAGCCCATTCGGCCTTTGGCTTCATGGGCTATTGACTCAGAGTCCATTCGGGCTCTAGGAATAATTGTTAAATAATTCACTGAAAGATAAAGAATTGGTAGCATTATTGATTAGCTATTACACATACAATTCTAAACTTCAACCAGGGACCGCGGAGCAAGGTGAAAAGTGGGAGGGCTGACAATTGAAAATAATTTTTTCATATTGAAAATCGAAAAAAGGAATAGAATCCTAGTATTTGATTTGTTTCTGTCGCGTGACTTTGCATACTTTTCTGCAGAGCTTACAGACTTTGACGAAGTCCCAGATAACTCTAATAAACGACCAACATCCACGGTCAGTTCAGATTCAATGCGAGAAAAGACGCGATTACAATTTTAGTATACAAATACTGCACTGAAGTGATCTGAAACATTTCTAACTATGGCCGTTCGCTGTTCAAGTAATGTAATTCTTCTTGCCATCGAATATTTCAGAAAGACAAAATATAAAACTTTTTTCAACTCAAAACACCTACTCACCTTCGTTTGGCTTGAAAAAGCTAGTAATTTTCTTCATTTCGTCTTGATAAAACTGATAAAAAAAACTCTGCCGGAGCTGGAAGTACAAAACACGCTGCCGAACGAAGCAAAGGGGTGGCCAAGGCATGGCGTTTGATCAAGGGGTAAGTCGGCCCCAGGGCACAATTACCGCGAAAAGCACAGGAGCCCCACAAAATGCCTGACGTTTTATATTAAAGAAAATACAGAGAATATAGCGGAATATAGACGGAAAAAAACTTGTTTCAAGTCTTTTTTTTTATTTTAATTATTTTTCTTTTTAGCGCAAAAAGTGGGGGAGGGGGCGCAAAAAAGTGGTGGGGCCGCAGCCCTACCAGCCCCTCCCCCTCCCCCTCCGCGGTCCCTTATTCATATTTTGATACACAGAGATGTACTAAAAAATATACAAGTTTGGCTCCGTTTTAATTTCTTTTGTTTGAAACTTGTCTTCATTGTCCTTACACCAGGAAAGAGAAGAATAAAATTTGACTAGGGTAAATTTTGATCGGCTTTATACACCGTATTCACAAATGGCGGACACGCGGGAAAAAGCTGGTGCCTAGTCATGAAAGCGAGGCGTTGGAGGATAAACAAAAATTGCAAATGAAGACTTTCAGTGAACTTGCAGAGTGTTTAGCACGGATTCCACCTAAAATAACTTTGTACGGACTTTTTTTTAAATACAAATACGTGGGACGTCTTCTGCTTTTAATTTTTAGTATTGTTTTGCTGTTTGCAATCAAAAGAGACGCGTATATCTTCAAGGAAACAGGAAGATTTTGTAGGTTTCCGAAGCATCAGAAGCTCGACAAGTGGGCGATGAGGTTTCGATGAAGTTATGTTTGCGTTTTGTTTGCCAGGACGTTATTCTCTGGTCTTTATCGATGAAGGACTTCAATTAGAACTATTTTTTTTTAGTATAAATGCAGGAGCGATCGAGTGGAGTACGCTCAAAATTTCAACTTGTTACTCGGCAGACTCGGTAAGCCGGCCACATATCATTTCAGCGAGTAATTTCCGTATTTCTTGTTTTTGGCTGTTAAGAGTTTTAACTTTATGTTCCATAATATTTTAAAAGTGAAGAATACATAAATAAATAAAGTGATGGTCTTCTTAAACGGATCCAGACTCGAATTTAATTATTCGAAACAAAAGCTTCCCGTTTTAGTCCTTACACAAACATTGCCTTAAAAGTTTAACCTAGTAAAATGTGAACTTTATACTACTTTTTTACCAAGAGTTCTCCGAGATAATGCCCTAAAGGAGACCAGGCAAATAGCAAGCCATAAGATTCACACACTACAGCTTCTAATTTTGATAAAATTATTTTATTTCGCAATGACAGAGAAACCAAAAGATTTTTTGCTAAGCTCTGCCAACGTACCTCTAACAATTCACTCCAAAGCGACGGAATTAATATCATCCAAAGGAAGTTGTAAATACAGACATACATATATACATAGATATGTATAAAATGACACTGACATGACTGAATGAGCCTCGTGAATGAATCTTTCACCAGCTTTCGACTTGACCTGTTTTGTGTAATGGCGGAGGTCTCTTCCGTTGACAAGTAGGCCATATATCCGTCGCTTATTTCTTTTTTTTCTTGCCACCAATATCTGCTTTTATTTCTGTTTTACAGAATTGCAGGGAGCTGGCTTTCGTATTCGGTTTCAGTGTGAAGTTTGGGAAAACATGTTCGCCGCTTTTCTCCAGCTATCGCCCACTTGTCGAGCTTAATTCTGAGGCTTCGGAAACCTACAAAATCATCCTGTTTCCTTGAAGATATACGCGTCCCTTTTAATTGCAAACAGCAAATCAGTACTAAACATTAAAAGCAGAAGACGTCCCACGTAATTGCATTTAAAAAGACGTCCAAACAAAGTTATTTTAGGTGGAATCCGTGCTAAACACTCTGCAATTTCACTGAAAGTCTTCATTTGCAATTTTTGTTTATCCTCCAACGCCTCGCATTCCTGACTAGGCACCAGTTTTTTTCCGCGTGTCCGCCATTTGTGAATACGGTGTATATTTATCTTAATTTGTTTAGTGACACATAGCTATAAGCTGGTATTTTGTCTTTCATTATTTAAAGGAATAAATACACGTTATCTTCTTTTCTTGAGTGTTTGTATTTTACTTTTAAAATGTATGGTATGTGGACCTGTCTTCAAAAGCACACCTAAGTGCATCACCTTTCTTAGTTGTGTTAATCAGGTCAGACTATTTTAGCCAATATCCTATCTGACTCAGTTTTCTTTTGATTTTCTTTTATAAATATTATGTTCACTTGCAATTGGACTTGTTCCTTTGCTAGTCTGGCTCTAAAATTCAATAAATATATTACTGACGCGAATCAGTCATGTCGGCGGGCGCTCCGCACATGCTGGTTTAAAACTCAAAACGTACCAATGCCTTATATCGTAAACTAAAACGAGTCAAGTTAAAAATGTACAGAAGGAAAACCTTAACATAAAGGGAGAGATTCCAGCTGTAAATAGTGAACTCCAGAAGCTGAAATCGATCATCGAGCAACAACGACTTCAAGCGGACATCGAGCAGGTTGGAGACGCTCCAACAAGATATGGAAACAGTATCCAAAAGAGCGTTGATTTCCTATGTGCGGACCACCATGTAACGAAAAACATTCGAGAGAATATCTCGAAAGAACTTGACAATCTAAGCCGTAAGCTTGAAGCGATTTTTACAAGAGTTTACAGTTTGGACGCCGCCATTGATGACTTACTGAAGTGCAGCTTTCAGTATAGCGTTAAAATTATTGGCCTTCCTGAACAGGATGAGCATGAGTCTGCTGAGACCACCACGCAGTTGTCTTTAAAACTTTTCCATGCTGTCGGAGCCGAGGGAGTGAGGAAAAACGACATTAATATCGCTCATAGAGTGAATAGCCGAAGGTCTGACAGCCATTATCTAAGACCTAGTGTGTGCAAGTTTATCAGACGACTGGCCAAAGAAGAAGTCATGGCTCATTGATCTGGATTTATCTGCTGATTTTCACCCGGAAAATATCCGAATTCATGAACACCTGATCCCGAGATTACAGCAACTTCTTAGCGAGGCAAATAAACTGAAATCTATACATCAATTCCAGTACGTCCCTCTAGGTGAAGAACTCTGAGATTTTGGCTCGTAAATCTAGTAGCTCTAAGGTCTTCAAACTAAAAGGCATGGCCGATCTTGGCAGTCTG